TCAGCTGTTATGAGTGTTTGGGTCTGACGGGTTCTTGTGCAGATCAAACTGTAAAGACATGTCCCAGTGGATCTTCCAAGTGCATGAGTTTAACAACAGCGGCACAAGCTGGTAAGTCCAATAAGATGGATTGAAAATCACTGTAATATTTGACTGATGGGGATGCTGGTGTTTTTTAAACTGGTGCTGCTTTGCTGGAAATGTAACTTCTCACAGAACTGCTACTTTCCTCACATAATATATCATTGTAATCACAGAATATTCTAGATTTCAGCTATTTAATTGGTTTCTCTCAGATTGTTACGCTAACAGTATAATTTGTATTAAAATTGAATCAATAATTTAAAATAAAAAAATGACACTTTTTGACATTTATAAATATATTTTCCATCAAAACAATGTGTTGAACAGGTCTTTTCTGAATAATTCCTGTTCTTAGATGGCATTAGTGTTAAAATGAAGGTTAAAGGCTGTGCTGCTGACTGTATGAGTGGGTCCATGAACATCGGCACTGGAAAGACATCTTTTGCATGCTGTAACACAGACAAGTGTAACGTCCAAGATGCTCCAGGTATTGTGCTTTACTGACCAAATGCAAAATAAATAAATAAAAATTAAGGCAAATTAGATGTTATATTTTGAACAGGAGATAAAATAATGCATGATTTCATCCTGTAGATCCCTCTCATACCCCCAATGGAAAGACGTGTTACTCTTGTGTTGGACAGAGCTGCTCAAACATAATGAGCTGTTCAGGGAGTGAAGACCGCTGCATTAAAGCAACAGGTGAGAATCTGGAAAAGAAAGAAGTCATTATTTTTAATCGCTCTTATGTTTGAGCATTTGATACAGATCACATTTACCAATTTCCAGCTTAGATAAACCTGTGTTTTCTTTATTTTCATCAGCGAGTTATGGAGGGCAGTCAATGGTTGTAAAAGGCTGTGTCTCTCAAGCTATTTGTGATGCCACAACAACAACATCGGTTCCTAATGTTCAGAGCATCTCATGTTGTGAGGGGAACCTGTGTAACGGTGCTAAAAGTGTCACTCAGAGCATGTTCCTCTGCTGTTTTCTGCTCTCCTTCCTCCTGCTGCACTGAATCCAGCAGCTCTTCACATTCTACAATGAGACACAGTACTGAATATAGAGCTTGTATTTTCTTTGTACAATGCATCTTTTGTGTCCTGATTCTGATGTGACATCTTTTAAAATAAAATATTACATTACCTTGTTTCTGCAGTTATATTTAATATAGCTTGTCAGAAGAAACATGTATGACAATTATTTAATTGTGCAAACAAGATTTTCTTCTCTTTTATTTTAGTTTGAACAATATTTGGGTTCCCACTTTCAGGAATTTTGTTTAGTTATAGGTCATAAAAGCAATAAGAGAAAAATTTTGATCTGTAAGAAGTAATATTTCTCAAAAACTTCTAATATATAACCTATATATATTATATACAGTGGGT